CCTCTTAGTTCAAGAAGACTCAACACTCGTCTGATGAACAAAAGAACTATTTTGTTTGCAAAATTATCAGTTTATCAATTGATGATCATTTGAGTAGTTCCCACCTTTTGGCTAAGATGCTAAGAAAATTCATGTACAAATTTCATGCTCATATTTTCTAATTTCTCTGGCCAATGTACCTGGGAGTTTAATTGCATGTGGTGGATCTCTCCTTGGCATTTTTGGAACTGTCTAAATGTTTTACAAACTTTTTGTACCAGGTCACAGTCTGAACATCTGTGTTTGAGGCTCCAAATTCTTGACCCTTCACCACATTAGAACCTTTTTTGTTTGCTTCTTCTGTTTTGGTAGATATAAGGAGTATCACATTGTGCTTTTGATGAGTGCTTCTGTAACTTAAAAATGATTGATGCATGTATCCACATATTTAGCCACCTGCATATTTGGGGGGATGCTTATTAAATTATTTTCCCATATCAACATTGAGTTATTTTTCTTTTTCATTGAGTGGTAAGAGTTTTTTAAATATTCTAGATATGAATATTTTAACAGATACAGGATGTCATGATTACTTTTCACATTGCTGAGACAAAATACCTGACATTCAAAAGTTAGAGGAGGAAAGATTTATTTAGCTCACAGCTTGCAGAAATTTCATTCCATAGCTGGCTCCATGACACGGAGGCACATGATAGAGGGGCTACAGCTAATGCTGGGGAAAGACAGCAAAAGCAGCAAGAGCTAAAATGGGGAGACAAACTCCTTCTACCCCTCCTAACTTATCCAGACTGCTGGGACTAGGATGGTGCCAATCCAGTCAGTGAACTGACCCAGAAATCACTCATCCTTAGTCCCAGAGTTGAACTACAACTCAGCCACAATCTCTAGATTCAGCTGCTTCTGAAAAAGCCCCATCTAAAAGAGCATGAGGTTTTTTGTTTTTGGTTTTTGGTTTTTTTTTTTGGGGGGGGGGACACATCCAAACACAAACCATAACACAGAATTTGCAAATATTTTCTCAGTATGTAGTTTTTCTTTTCACATTGTATGGTTCCCTTTGAAGTAAGAAATTTTCTTAAGTTTAATGAGATCTAATTTTTTTTTTTTTACTTTAATTACTTGAGCTCTTTTGTCATATGTAAGAGAGCATCGCTTAACTCAAGGGCATGATGACAAACACCAATTATTCTTGTAATTCTTTTACACTTTTAGCTCTTACATTTAGGTTTTTGTTCCACTAGAGTTAGTGTTCATTTTGGTCTTTCTATATTTAATTGATGACCTTTTTGTGTCTTGTGATGGGCTTTTACTTCAAGTCTCTTTTATCTGATAGAAGTATAGTGAACCCTGCATTCTTTCTGATAATAGCCTCTGTGTTTCTGTAAAAGTAAAGTGTTTCTCTTGTAGACAGACTACAGATGGATCATGGTATTTTATCTGTTCAGTAATTATCAGCCATGACTTGGTAATATTGGGTAGTACTAAGCTTTATTTGTTTTATGTATCATTTGCGTATCTGCTATAGTGTTTCACTTTATGCTTACTGTGATGTTTATATAATACATCTTATAATCAACCCCTTTACACTGATAGAAACTTAACTTTTTGCAATACAAAGAGTTTAAAATTTCTTGATCACTCCAATGACATATATTTTTGATTTCACAGTTTGCATATTTTTGTGTGTATTTCTTTATCTGGTCTGTAGCTTTAATAATTTTGGTTTTTCTCCGGTACTGGGAATCGAACTCACGACCTTGCACTTGCCAGGCAGGCGCTTTGCCGCTGAGCTAAATCCCCAGCCCCCCGCTTTAATAATTTTGATAGTTGAAATCTTTAACCTTCACACTAGTGGTATGAATGATTTACATAATAGAGTGTTGGTTTATTTTGAATTTAACTGTGTAGTTCATTCTACTAGATTTAACATCTTTGCATTTTCATGATAGTAACCATCATCTTTCAGTTACTCTTTCCAACTTTTTTTTTTGCTAGTATACATTTATGTATTTCTGTTATGGTTATTCTAGTGGTCATGAGTTCTTAAAGTTTCCAGTTTTTGCTTGCCTAGGAAAACCTTTATTTTCCCCTAAGTTCTGAAGTACAGATTTCATTGGTTGGAAGCTATTCTCTTTCTTGCAGCACTTTGAATTTATTCTCCCATGATCGCCTGACCTACATGGATTTATGTTGAAAAATCAACGGATAATCTAAAGAACAGTCCCTCATATTTGACACTTGTTTAGCCTTGCTGAATTTTGTGTTTTTCTCTCTGGCTGTGACTGCTAACAGTTGATGACATGGACTGTGGAGGGCCACTTCTGCTTGGACCTCACCGGAACACTTTTGGGCTTCATGGACCTGGATGTCCACATCTCTCCTAGTATTTGGAAAGTTCTCACAATTATCTCATCGATTAAATGTTCTACTCCTCTTTGTGTCTCTTCTGTTAGTGCTGCTATTTGCAGTCAGTTGGGTCTTTTGCTCCATTCAGGTGAAAATCATGAATTATCACAGTGCAGCTCTGCTGCAGTTCTGATGTCACCAGACAGTGCTGAATGCCTTGAAAAGTTGATAGAGCTTGCTGCTGGTCATTACCACTGCCGGCCACTGCTGGTGGCCACCAACTTGTGCTGTGTGCTTGTTTCTGCTGTAGATCTTCTTTGAGTGCAGGTCTCTGCAGCTCATCATTACTAACACCCCCTGGTGTTTACTGTCATTTCTTTTGAGATGACTTCTCTGTCCACACTACTCAGGATAAGAATGCAAGGCAAAATTGTAGGATCTTGGGAGCCTACACTCCCCAAGAAATGAATAAAGAGTGAGTTTACAAGACCATTGAAGCAAGCCTTCATTTTAACAGAGTCTGTGGTGCAGCACAGCCATTTCTTGAATTTCTTTGTATTTGGATGAGGCTTTGCTGAATTACTGTGCTCCTGTGGCATTGTGAGGTTTCCTTGTTTTTTTGTGTGTTTATGTATATTTTCTGTTGTCCCTGGATTCTCTTCCCCACAGTGTGAACTTTTAGCTGACATCTTGTCTGGTGTGTCCCACAAGCAGCCACAGTAGTGTGTGAGCTAGGGCATACACATTCACAGAGTTGGGCTCAGTGGTTTGCAAAACTACTGTGTCATCTGGGACTTTAGCACTGCTTTCTCATGAAGGCAAAAGAGGATACAGATTTCCCACAGCTCTGTGGTCTATGCTGTGAGGCACACCCCAGAGGCTTGGGCAACCTAGGAAGATGTGGAAATGAGAATCTCCCATTGTGGAGACCTGTGCAGAAGCTCAGCCTGACTCTGGGAAAGACGCAGCACTGTAAAGGCTCAAGACCTTGTGTCACTTTCCACATTCAGGTTTTCTCAAGGAAGCCACATGGGAAGACTGCAACATGGGTCTCAGGCCACAGAGTAATGACCCTGAAAGATGAAAGTTGGGGCACGACTCTACCATCACCGGTGAGGTCAAGTACAATGCAGAAAACACCCAGGAACAGCAAGTCCCTGCTGTGACTGGGGCCCCATGGAGCCTCACAGTAAAGTCTCCACTGAGGAATGCCAGAAACCTGGGATGCTCAAGGTCTGAGGGACTGGCACAGTTCCAGGAGGTAGTGCACATGGCTTTCAGAAGATAGGGTGGGGTGTGACAGCTCCACAGCTCTCATTCATTGGGGCACAGGTCACCATGTCACCTTTACCTCAGAAGTCTCCATGGGGCTTTCTTTGCCCATGAAATGTGCAGCCACTTCAGCCTATGTGGAGGGAGCAGGAAGGCTCTGGTCAGCGATGAGTCTAGGTCTCTGCACAGCAGGGCACGGGTTCACCTTGAGTATCAGATGAGGTGCTGTACCTGCTTTGGCTGGCCACATTTCTGTGTCCCATTGAGGAAGGGTTAGTTCATATCTGTGTCCTCAGGATCAGGTTGCTGCAGTACATGGGCTGGGGAGACAGAGCAGTTACAGGGTACATACAACCCAGCCGTGTTTATAGCTACAGCCTTCTCTTGTATGGTGCACAGGAGGGGATTGCTGCAGTGGTCAGAGCCCTCAGGCACCCAAGAGTGCTGTGGTCAGCTGCCCATGAAGCAAAGTTGCACTTTTAGTCATTTGGTTCCAAGAAATGGAAGCTCAGGAGGAATATTTTTAAATTTTTGTGAAACCAATAAAAATGCACACATGTAGACATGAGGTATACATAGACCTCAAAGAAGCACAAAGAGTATCAGAATCAACTGTTTGTTTAAGAGTCTGAAGATTCACTTCTGTCAACAGTTATGGAAATTGGCCTTAAGCATCTTAATGTGGATTCCAATGAGAACATAAAGAGTTTATGTACCTTAAACCTACTCATAGACACCCAGTAGGAGACAGTATATTCGCTGGAGGAAAACATTTCAGAGTATGAATGGGCTGCTTGCAGACTCAAACCAGTGTTATGTATCTCACTGTGCACTGCTCTCCAGGATTTAAAGCACTGTAAGCCAAGAAAGATTTAAATTTGTGGTGGCGAGCATGTGATTGAGAGCCACAAATTCCATCTTAAAAATGCTGTTTATAAGACAGAATTCCAGGTTTTTATAAATCACATTGAATATAGAGATGGACCAGGGAAGGGTTCCAGCTCTGAGAATGTCCCTGTGCTCTGAACAGGAAATGGGGCCATTAAATGCCATACAACTCGTTTTAGTGGAGATCAGTTATTTTCAGTGGGAAAAGAAGCTCTAATGGGGAGAGAGTCAAAATATGAACAGCTTGGACTGTGGGACTTGAAGTTTTTGTATTGGCTCAGCCCATACTATTTAACTCATTCTTATACGAATTTCCCTCTCTTCACCACCTTCTATCATTCTGATATCACATAGTTCTGTGTTAATATACTGCTTTTTTTTTACTTTTCTGCCCTCAGATAGATACCGTAGTGTACAAAAGGAGCGTCCTTTAGAATTTGCCCTTCGGGTGGAACTCGTCTCAAAGAGTCATGTTTTTCTCTTGTCGTTCCCAGGACCTCATCCTAAGTTGTCTTCCAGCATTTTCTCTGGTGCTGCGGTGACCGTGCAAGGGATGGAGCGGACCACAGTGGAAGTCGGACCTGCTGCGCCGCAGCTGGGGAAGCCTGCAGCTCTGCAGTCCTATCTGTGGGACGAGATGAAAGAGAAGTTCTTGAAGGGGCAGCCGAAGGTCCTTGGTGTAAGTGGGCTGCGGATCTGAGAGGACAACGGTGCTGTAGTAATTCATGCCCGATCAACCTAATGGCAACCACTCTGTCCTACTGGGCTCGAAGTACAGCAACCTGTCCTAGTAGCATCAGTGTTTGACTTTCAGGCTATATCATTGGCAAGTGACACTATGTTCATTCAGCCACATCGTGGTTCCATTTAGTTGTATTTTATATATACTGATTTCAGATTCATTCTAGGTTGTGTTTCATCCAGCAGAATTATATTTAACCTCACTATGGAAGAGCAGCAGTGGCTGGTGTCTCCCCACTGGCCTACCTCTTTGCCAAAGACCTGTGCAATTCCTGTATCTCTCTGGTGCCATTTCTTAACCTACTGTCAGAGGAGGAAGCACCTTCTTTCTTCTAAATAGTTCCTTCTAGACTGTCACACAGCGTGACTGATAGAAAGGACATCTAATGGAAAGGTTTACCTTCAGCCTAAAGTTTAATCCACTGAGCACAAATCATTATGGACATTCCAAATTCTTTTTTTCCCCATTATCTCTTATTTTTGGTAAATTTTGGAAGCCTTGTTTTCATGAGGTATATTATTTATGTCGTTGTACACTAGGTTTAATTTTTAATATATTGATAAGTAGTTTTAAATAGTCTTTACTTTCTAGAGATGCTTTAGCTTTACAACAAAACTGAGAGGAAGGACAGGTTGTTCCACGTACCTCTTCACCCACTGGTGTATGGCACCCCTGTTGTCAATCACTCCCACATAAAAGTGGATGTGTTACAGTCTACAAACCCCCAGGGATCCATCAGTATCACCCACAGTCTATGCACATGAAAGTTCACTCTAGGAGTTCTATAGTCCATAATTTTGGAAAAATACAAATGTATATACTCACTATTATAGTAGCAGGCAGAGCAATTTCACTGTCCTAAAAATGTTCTGTGCTTTGCCTAATTATTCTTCAACTCTCTCTAGCTAATCACAAATGCTGTTATTTTTACATCTCTCTAGATTGCTTATTCCAATCAAACAGTTGGAGTGACACAGTACTTAGCCTCTTTAGATATATTTCTTTCACTCCACACATATTAAATTTTACCCATGATTTTCATGACCTGATATCTCATTTAGCTTTAACAAAAACTCCATTGTCTGAAAGTACTACAGTTTATTTATCTATTTACCTATGGAAGGGCATTTGGGCTGCTTCTAAACTTTGACAATTGTACATACAATTTCCTTAATATTTATGTGTGTGTTTAGCATGTGCATAATTTTTTCATCTTATTTGAATCAGCAGGAGAGGTAGATCATGTTTTAGTCCATTTTGTATTGATACAACTAAATATGTGAGGTTTCATAGCATGTTACACTCAGTGTATAGAGAAAGCGCTGATAATTCTGGTGCCTGGGAAGTCCCAAGATCGTAGGGCTGGCCACCAGGGACAGTCTCCTTTCCTACCTCCCCACATTTAGAGAAGTAGAAAGGACAATGTCATGTGCAGACCAGGCCATGAAGAAGGGATCACGTGTGTGTAACAACCTATTCTTTGAGAATAGACACACTTATCGAAACCAGCTTGATTCCCTTCTAAATAAGCGGCCCACATAACTGTATTGCATTTCACGGATCCCACTTTTCAGAGGTTCCACAGTCCCAACACTATACACTGGGAGCCAAGCTTGCCCAGCACCTGAAACTTTGGGGAACAAACAGATCAAAACCGTAGCACCTGGGAAGAGAGTGTTCAGTTGTGTAAGAATCTGCTACCATGTCTCCCCATCTTAGCTTTTCAAAACAGCGGTGAGCGACGGTTCTTATTTCTCCACATCCTCGGCAGCATTTGCCAACCTAACAGGCGTTCAGAGGTGTCTCCGTGTGCTTCTCATGTGCATGCCAAGGTGACCTCCGGCCTGGAGCACCTTTTCATAGTCTTCTTTCCCATCACTGTCAAGGCCTTTGTCTCGTTTTTAACAAGGATTTTTAATTTATGAGTTTTAAGATTTCAGTAAATGGTTTTTAATTACATTCCTTTGTCATGTACATGCCCTGAGACTATCTTCTCCAGATGGTAGCTTAACTTTGGGCTTTATTACCATGTATTTGCAGAGTGAATCAATTAATTTTAAGGAAATTAATTTTACCTATTCTCTGATTATGGATCATGCCATTGATATTGTACTAAAAATGATATCACCAAATCCAAAGTTGTATAGATATTCAACTATGTTTTTTTAATGAACTTTATATGTAGTTTTGATTATGTGTGTGATTTATTTTGAGATAGTTATTACAATGGATGAAATGTCTGTGGTCAAATTCAGCTTTTGCCTGTGGGTGTCCACCTTCTCCAACATGATCTTTTCTTTTTCTTTTTTGTTTTTTTTGGTTTTTCTCTGGTACCAGGAACCGAACTCACGACCTTGAGCTTGCCAGGCAGGCGCTTTGCCGCTGAGCTAAATCCCCAGCCCCATGATCTTTTCTTGATTGTATTGCCTTCTCCTCTGCCAAAAATCAGTCGACTATGATCATATGTCTATTTATGAGATTTCTATTTTGTTTCATTGATCTATTTCTCCATTTTTGCCAAAACCATAATTCTGGATTCTTTAGTTTTATTCTACACTCTAAAGTCCAATTCTGTCAGTTTTCCAACTTTTTTTCTTCAACATTGTACTTGTTATTCTGAAATTTTTGTCTCTCCATATAATTATTCAAGTCAGTATTTGATACCCATAAAATATGTTTCTAGGATTTTGACAGATTTCAGACAATATAGATATGTTGGGATGAACTGAAGTCTTTAGTATATTAAGCTTTCCTAGACAAGAATATGGACTGGAATCTCTCTACTTTTATTTAGATCCTAGATTTATCTCATCCGAGTTTTATAGTTTTCATTATAGTTTTGTAAGCATTTTGTTAGGTTTATAATAAACAAACACAAAATATCACTACCTAAGTACATCATTCTCAGGGTTACAAATTTAAATAGTGTTGCATTTTTAATTTCAATTTTCACTATTTCAAGAACTGGGTGACTCTTGTGCATTAAGCTTGTACCCTGCAACCAAGAGACACTCACATCAGGTGCAGGATTTTATAAACAATTTCCCCTTCATACATTCTACATGATGAACATGTTTTCTATAAAGAAGCATAGAGTTTTTTTTCTTCTTACCAATATGTACACTTCTTATTTCCTGTTCTTTTCTGATGGGTTTAGCTAGGACTTCCAAGGAATACAAAGAGGAGTGATGATGGGGCACACAGGTGCCCTGTTGCTTATGTTGATGGGAAATGTCATGATTTCTTACTGTTGGCTATAATGGTAGGTATGGGTTTTTGTAGATTTCCTTTATTAAATTGAGAAAGTCCTTAATATTTTTAGTTCAGCTGAATTTCTTTTATAATGGATGAGTGGTTTTGTTTTGCCATCTATTGATATGATCATATGATTTTTTTCAAGCTATTGATTAGATGGATTAAATTAATTGATCTTGAAGTGACACTCTATTCTTGCATATCTTAGATAAATACCATTTATTCACAGTTCTTTGTTCTTTTTATAAATTTTTATATTAAATTTGTTGAGGATTATAGCATCTATGTTCACAAGAGATGTTGATTGGTGGTTTTCTTTTCTGTAATGTTCAACTGGTTTTTGTTACTTGGGTATTTCTAACCTCATTGAATGAATTAAGATGTATTTTGAACTACATTATAGAGATTTGTTATAATTTATTCTTTATGCATTTGGTAAAATTTACTCCTGGAAGTGTTCTGTGGCTGGTGTTTTTTTTTGCATCATTACTAAATATTCATAAATTTTCCTTAATAACATGCCACTGTATAGATTCATTTTTATTTATTATAGGTTTTTGTGCAGCTGGTCTTCAAGGAGTTGTCTCTTTCATACTGGTTATCAAATTTGTGTGCACAATTTCTCATATTATTCTTTTATTCACCTTTTGATGTACCATGTTCTGTAATATGTCATAGGTGCTGTATGTATCAATGGCTCCAGTTTCATTCTGATATTATTAACTCATATTCTGTCTTGCTCAACCTGACTAGATAGTTACTGACTTAGTTTATCTTCAGATGTTTCCTTAAATGTTGTTACTTTTGTCTGTTGGCTTCCTTTTTTCAATTTTATTAATTTCTATTCAAGGTTTGATTTTTCTTCTGTTTTATTTGGATGTAATTACTCTGCCATTTCTAGTTTCTGGGATGAAAGCTTAGGTAATGAATTTTAAATCTTACACTCTCTATCATATGCATCTTATGCTGTGAATTTCCCTCTCAGCATTCCTCTATGTCTCACTAGTTTTGATAATTCATTTTTATTCTCTTTGGGTCCTTTTCAATGCTCAATTTTAAATTCACTGTACTGTCAATCTTGAGGACCAAGGTCCCAAGACAATGTCACAATTTCTTCTTTGTTCTGTTTTCTTGCCCCTATATCTACTGTTCTTTCCTATGTTAATTCTACTCACTAGAATAATTGCTTCCTAATTTATTGGTCACCGTAGTCTGAGTATGTAATAAGGAAGAGCAACAGATGAAGTACAAATAGTATTATGGTTATCACAGGAGCACCTTTGGGCCAATTTTAACAAACTCCTTTTAACCTTAAAATTACTGGGACAATGATAAATATTTAGAGGGATAATTTGAGACAGTTGGCATATCCATAATGCTTTATGTAAAAAAGTGACAAGAGAAAATCTAAAGGTCAACAGATTGCAATAAAAGATGGAGAATACTTGTGTGGTTGGATAGGAGGGAGCATGAACACCACTTTGAGCAAAATAATCTGTTTTCATTTCTTTGTCCTTTCAGGTTATGCAGGTTATGACTGGCTTGATGATCCTCAGCATAGGAATAATAATGATGAGTAGCACACTGCCTGGTTATGGACGACACCCCCTGTCAGTGTACATTGGGTACTCAGTTTGGGGATCGGTGATGGTGAGTGACACTGTAGACAACGCAGCATACTTCCGACTATCTTCAGATTTGCATGAGAAACTTTCCGAACTATACCATAGATACTACAACTTTGAGACAAGTATTTTTAACCTTCCTTTGTCTCACTTTCTTATTTAACAGAAATAACATAAATTTATGGAAATTAGATGTCAATTATTTCATATCTACCAATGAAGATATATTACAGCAGAGTGTAGCTGTAGACATAAAGCAGAATGACTTAAACATTGATAGTATGTACTCTTCCAACAAGGGGCCCAGGGACAAGTCATCTGCAGACTTGGTGAGTTCAATGAGGACCTCAGGGAACACGGGTAGCAGAGCACAACCGTTTTGCTGACACACATCTTTGCTCATTGGTATTGTACATATACAGCCTCAAACCAAGGGCAAGCAAAGGCGCCTACCTTGTTACTATGAACTTTCACTAACACAGTTCACTTCTGTAGCTGGGAAGGTTTCACACTGCTTTGAAGATCACAGTATACTGTAGGAAATGAGGGTGTTAATAATTTATCAACCCTGCCAATGGTTATCTTAGAAAACAGAATTGCTTTTACAACAACTTTGTTTCAGAAGTATACTAAAAATAAATTTAATTAAAATTTAATAAGGTAACTGTTTAAGAAAGTTTAAAACTCTTTGCTCAAGTTGAAACACAAGAGAGTTTTCCTGGACATTAGAGGATACATTGAATATAGTATATCGTGTTTTAGCTACTGAGCTGAGGAATACTTAATTAGTTTGTAAAATGTGTGTATGTCAGGATCAGGAAAACTATCCTACTGCTTTATGGTGTTCTTTTCTCTACAAAGTTGAAAATAAGGAAGATTAGAGTTTTATGATAGGCCTTGCTTTTGACTTCCCTTTTCAGACTATAAAAGTTTAAGATTTGCAGAAGAGGAAACTCTTGTCTATATGTGGAAGCTGCAATATGTGTTTTGTATCTAATAACAATACAAAAAAATCAGTTTATATTAAATTTTCACTATGATACAGGCACCCTATTAAGTGTTCTATGTACCTAAATCCATTTCAACCAAACCTCCAAATCTTCTAAGGGAAGATTTGTTATCATAATTATTGTATGAGAGAGGAAATTAGGAGTTAGAAGAGTTATTAACCTGTCCAACTCTATTAGGTTCAGGAATCAGGACTCAAAACAATTAGTCTGTTTCCAAAACTGCATACAACTCACCAGTCCAGATTTCAACTTCCACTCTCATATCCCTCCTAAGACCATGTTGGAAACCCTCTTACATAAATTCTGACTGCTTTGCATGTTGAGTGGATCAACAGGAAGGTCAGCAGCTACATTTTCACAAGTAAGCTGCCACTCAAGGTGTGGCAGGCACTTCTCGCTTCAGCTTCTGATTATTTGGAGCAAACGCTTCAACGGCACCTTCTCTCATCTTTTTAATTGTATTCCCAAGCCTTTCCCGCACAGTGTCCCCTTTTGTTCCTTCCCACAGTGCATGTACAGATAGTGAGAACCAACTGCAAATGTCTGTTTGGGCTCTTCTGTCTCCAGCCCCATTATGTGTCTTTTATGACAGTCTCACAAAACTATTGCCACATTGTTCTCTTTTTTCAAGTTTTTTTATGTGTACTTTTGGATGTTACAAAGTTTTATTCATGAAAACTTCACACTCATTGCTTAATTTTTCCTCTGATATTTTTGGGTAATTTTGTTAGTATGATAAAAGAGGTTGCATTAATATACAATTTTTAACATGCAATATCACCAGTCTGGGGACTTTACCACACGCACTTTTGGAAATACTTACAACCCAACTCATAGCACTATCTGAAAGAAAATGTCATATGCTCATGATTTATTTCAGATAAAAGGATGGGTAGTATTTGTTTTTCAATGTGATTTTCATGAAATCATTTTGTTTTGCTATTTAAACATTCATGAAAAAGTATCTTAATCAAACTATTTCATTAGTTCATTCACTTTGGAATTAATTTATAATTTTGAAATGTCTAAAGTCAAGTGTGGAATACTAACTCAGAAACTTAAAAAGTTGAATATGTAAGGCAGAGAATTGAACAGAATCAACACTAAGCATTTTAGAAAATGGAAAGCTGTTCCCCAGCTCACAGAGTCAAATAAGCTAGTATAGGGGCTGGGAAGATAGCTCAGCAGCATAAGCACTTGCCTGGCAAGTGCAAGGTCCTGAGTTCAATTCCCGGTATCAAAAAACAAAACAAAACAAAACAAAACAAAACAAAACAAAACAAAACAAAACAAGAAAACCAAATAAGCTAGTGTATTCTGATCATCATAAAAGGAGGAATCTAAATTTTTCTTTGCCATTATTTTATTTGGGTCTTTTAGTAGCTATTTTAAATGACAATAGTACTTGAATGCTTTTATTTTTATTTGATGATCATATCAATGTGGAGGAGCATCATTTTAGTATTCCTTTCAGGAATTTGGATGCTATATTTCTCTGGGTTTTTAACAATTTTAAGACTATTACTGTTAGTTATATTTTGAAAAACTTGATAAATTCTCCCATGGATCTACCTCATAGAATTCTTGTGTCTTTCATGGGAAGAATGAAACCGTAATCAGCAAATTTTGGTGTTTCTGTTAAACTATTTCTCTGTTTAACATGTTTGCAGAGTTTAGGAGTAAGTTTTAATAAATTATAATTGTAATAACTATTTAAAGTTTTTACCTGACTTTTTGCCCCATTTCTAGTTTATTATTTCAGGGTCTTTCTCAATTGCAGCAGCAAGAAGAACTACAAAAGGTCTTGTGAGTTCTATTTTATTTTATTTTGGTATCAAAAGGGGAATGATCTAGTCAAATATTCCTTCTGGCTGGGTATAAAATGGAAAATGTTTCTTTAAAAAATCATAAGCTTTACCTTGAAGGATTGTTCAATAATTACACTCAAATACTTGGATAATCCCTGTTAATCACTTGGTACTGAACATTTTGGCAAGACTGTGGCTGAGAGAGTTTGCACGGAAATGCCAATGTTCTGGAGGAGGAAAGAAAAGCGGAGTCAGCCAGAGTAGCCTTGAACTTGAGATCAAGCCCAGGACAGAGGCACCAAGTAAAGTTCATTGATTAAAATGCTATTGAAACTGCATCTTGAAAGAGTTTTCAGTTTTCCAATGCACTTTTACTCAAGAAAAAACAAATTTAAATTATTACCCTGATGCCAGTGTGTCTTTCACACAGCTAGTTTAAGACAATATGTCTATATCTACCTATATCTATATGATCTATATGTATACCTATATCATCTATCTATCTCTCTCTATATATCTATATGATAGTAGGTAGATAGATAGATAGATAGACGATAGATTCCTTGCTGAAAATGCAAGCATAATATCCTGCAGCGTTATCAATATGGGCTTTCCAAAATCTGGCTAACACCTGCCTCTAGCGTTTCCTCTAGCTACAACCATGAAAATGTATCTCATGCAGCATTCATGCCAAACTTCTCACACTTTCTTGAGAAATTTTAATTCTAATAAAAAGCTTATTCCACATAAAAAGAGAGTGGACAGAAGAAAGGACACAGTGTGAGATGTAACATGCGAAAGGTAGAGAGCCCCGAGGAACAGGCACCATTTAGAAAGGGCTGAGTGCTCAGGCCCTGCAGCAGAGCAGAGCAGGAAGTGTGAAGACAGGGTGGTGCAGCTGAGGTGTAGGTTTAGAAATCCCTGCTAGGAGACTGGGGTTGGTCTGCGGTGGTCACAGACCTCATCTGACAGAGTTAAACTAGGAAATCACAAGGCCATGGCTTTGTCTTGGTAAGAGATTAATCATCTCAAATTTAAGGAGAGAGATAATTTGGGTTTTTGTTTGTTTGGTTGGCTGGTTGGTTTTTGTCTTTTTGAGACAAGGTCTCACTATGCAGTTCAGGCTGGCCTTGACCTCACTTTGTAGCCCAGGCTGGTCTTGAACTCTCAATGATCCTCCTGGTTCAACCTCCCGAGTGCTGGGATTATAGGCATGCACTACCACTCCTGGTGCAAGAGAGATAATTTTGAAGACTACTGAAATACTGAAGATAGTGTAAAATGTGTTAGAAAAGAAATGGGGGGCTTCACATGAATAACAGAGACGTGTCTGAATATGCTGCTGGATTATTTAACTGACTTTTATTCCTTTGCAGGTCCGAGCCAGTCTAGGCTTGAACTCCACTAGCTCTGTGTTTTCTGGAACAGGAATGATAATCACTATGATCAGCCTGGGAATAAGTTCACCCTATCCCTTTAACTGCTACTATAATTCATCTGAAAGCTGTCCAATGACAATAGCTATTTTAATAGTGAGTGCCTCCTCTTCTCATGAAATACTAATGCAATAGCAAGAGTGCAGAGTGCCGGTTCTGGCAGAATCAACCATCAACATTGGCTAATGCTGGATCTTTTGGGGGAAAGAGGAACACGTCGAGAAATAGAGTAGACTTTTGTGTAAGAGCCATGCTCATGTCGCCTGTCTTTGTCCTCTAAAAGTGAGGGGCCAAGTGAGAAGAAAGCACAGAACGATAGAACATATTCTCTGTAGCAGTCATTGTGCATGGCACTTTGGCACCATTTTTTACTATTTAATTACAATACATTGTTCCAGGGGCCGGGGATTTAGCTCAGCGGCACAGCGCCTGCCTGGCAAGTGCAAGGTCGTGTGTTCGATTTCTGGTACCTGAACAAAAACAAAAAAACAAAACAAAACAAAAAAACGCAGTACATTGATCCATATATGCTGTCATCCCATCTAAAGTGGAAGGTAATGCTAGTTCCCGAATACCCGCAGGGCTTCCTGCTGCAGTCCAGCGGGGTTATATGGCTTATCAATGATAAAGGGAAATTGTCTTGAATGCTATGCTACATGTGGCGAGTAGCGCAGAGTTCCACTGGACATCTCTGGGTGTTCTTGCGTGTTTACTACTTTTATGTTCAACATTCAGCACCTGGAAGGTTCTCAAGCTTCTATATACATTTTATCATTTCTTTTTGCATCATTTGCCCTTATCTAGATGATTTCCTCATTGTTTTATCCTCCAAATTACCACTTACACAAGCTCTTGTGAATAGTAAAAGTTCTTGGCGTTTCTGTCCTGGGGTGAGTGCAGGGAGAGGAGGTATTTCTGCACACTGCAGGTATTCACGCATGCTGTGACATCCTCACTACTGAAATGTTGACTGGCTGTTACTAACACTTCATGCTTCCTATTATCTTCCATCCATGTGCACTTCCAGAGTCAGCTTGCCGGTTAGTTGCATCTGTCATCTTCTCTCATCTAAATGCGGAAACTCACCATTTTCAATGACATATTCTGCAGGATCAAGTGTAGCTCTTCTAGTTTATCTCTTATTAATCCTGTAAGACTTTTGTGTAAGGGCCATGCTTATATTGGATCAGATCTTGATCCCTGTTTGCGCACACCAAAATACACAGTGCAAAAAGTCCTCACCAGCTACTTTCCTGATAAAGGCTTAATATCAACAATTATAAAAAATATTTAGAAACTTAACACCAAAAAATTGTATAACCTAATAAATAAATGACAAGCAGATACTTCTCAGAATAAGATGACAAAAATGACCAAAACTAAAGTGACCACTGACTCAGTATAGCATGAGGTATAACCACAAAGGAAATAAAATCAGCATATTATAGGGGTATCTGCACATCCATGTTTCTTGTGGTGCAGTTCTCAGTATCCATGACATGGAAACACTCCAGGTGCCCACCAATAGATACATGGACAAATACGGCATGTGCAAATGGTGGAGAAGAAAAAAATCATGTCTTTTCAGGAAAATGGATGAAACTGGAGATCACCATGTTAAATGAAATAAACCAGATGCATACACTCATCCCACTCCAGCCACTTTCTGAAGCAATTCTGGAACTCTTCCTCCGTGTCCTTAGGTGCACTGTTGTGGCTGCCTTGATGTCCCGAGTTCATTCAAAATGTTTACTTTTCATAATCACTTTGACTCTGGGAAGGACTCAGAAGTCACACAGTGCCAGACGCAGTGAACAAGGTGGATGAGGACACAGCGTCCTGTTCTCGTTAGGCTGCCTTTCTGTTCAGTGACCCTGAGCAGCAACACTCTCTGTATTTTTGATCCCACCCAATGAGACACTCAGCAAAGAGGACTCCTAGAACTGCTTCAGAAAGTGACAAGGACAATGGGATAAGTGTGTTTGAAGTGAGTGGCATATTTTTATGGGATGACTAGCAGTGTGTCTTCTACTGTAATAGTTTTTAATTTAAAAATTAACAGTATATTTTAATAGAACCTCATATATCAAACAAGGTTAGAAAATATGACTCCTTTGTAGAAAAAAGAATCATTAGACCTAACCATATAAATTTCCAGCTGTCTGCTAGCTCTCCCTGTAAGAGAAAGATAGCAGTATCATAAGGCTCAAAACAATGTATTCTGTATGATATATGTATGTGTGTAACCTCATAAATAGCTCCTATATATTACAATATTTTGATATTTATATGGCCTTTATGGCTGCTCTCTTATAAGGACAGACAGAAAATTATATTCATGTAATTTGCAAATGGATGATGACATTGGGGGAGGGTGTGGGACTGACATGGAGTTTCAGCTGCATAATAGAGGTAGTGATACACATAGAGATAGAGATGATAGAGATATAGATGTAGGTATTTGCCAGATTTTTGGAAGTCTAGCCTGTCATTGTTTTTGTAAGTAAAATCAAACAGAACTCTAATTAAGTCCATTGGATGACCTTCTGTGTGAGGTTGTTTTTATGTTCCAGTGGTAGAAGTGAGTCTCAGCAACAAAGAACATTAAGACTGGCACCCCTAAAATATACACTATCTGGCCTCATAGTTTTCTAACTCCTAGTCTCCTCTTCTAGAAGACAAGGTCCTTGGGGACAGGGAATTGCCTGTTTTATTTGCTGCTCTCCATATCTAAACCTACATCCATGCCTGGCATACAGAGGCTACTGAGTCCACTGGAGGCAAGAGTGAATAAAGAAGCAGTGCATGAAGATGTCCTTAGGGTCCACTGAGCCTGTGTCTCTCAGGGACTAGCTCATGGCCATGGGTTCTTCCACAGTAAATGACAATCCCTAAGCATGGAGAAGAAAATAAGAACATTTAAGCCAAAGAATCTCAGATCCATTCAGGGTAAAATGTTAGGAAAAGTCATACTGCCTGACATTCCTTGAGTTTGAGCCCACAGTTTTTTTTTTTTTTTTTTTTACCGAACTCACGACCTTTTTATCTTATAGCTAATAAGGGATCAGACAA